CGGGGCAGGCACGACGCTAGCCCGTGCCCCGTGCCCGTGGTGCGGGCAGCGCGCAGGGTGGTGCCCACCTGGCCCTCCGGCGGCTCTCGCCCTGGCAGGGGCACCCGGGACTGCTAAGGCAGGTTTCCAGGTGGCACCCCCGCAGTGAATGCATGCCCGGGAGCGAGCGCACTGGACATGCTCTTGCAACCTCCCCCTTTCATTGCCAGTGGGAAGAGCTTGGCTTTGCGCCCGCTTGCTGGAAAGGGGAGGCTCCTCCCTAGCCCGCCCTAGGGCTGAGGGCAAGTCAAAGCCGGGGGCATCTGAACCCCAAGCCTCCGGGCTCGGGCCTGCACGTAGGATGCCCGCCAACTGGTTTGGAAACATCTGAAGCCGGTAGCAGCAGGGCCACTTATGCTTCTGGACCGATTCGCCGATTTGGAATGGATTTGGCTGATTTGGCTCGGGACGTGACAAGCTTTCCTTTAAAAAAAAACAGAAAAAGAAAAAATGCTGTGTTGGGCTGTGTTTAGTGCTGCCCAGAGCTTGTCGGTCCAAAAGAGAAGGGTTCAAGGAGAGAGAAACCCAGAGGACACCTCCCTGGCCTGTATTCCTCCATGAGAAAAGCACTCGTGCCTCATTCAAGGGGTCAGGGGGAAAGTATACCCCAAGTCATCCTTAACCACAGGGGAGAGCGAGGGGTCCTTCCGCTGAGCAAGGCAGGTGGCTACACCTATACAAGTGTACGTCCTTTATAGGGTATCCAGGTTGTAGCCGTATTGGTCTAGAGGCAAAAGGAATAGGAACTCGTGGCAGAGGTGATGTCTTTTATTAGAGCAACTAGATGTTTGCAAAAACATGTCTTTATTTGCAAGCTTTCGGGCACAGGCCCCCTTCTTCAGGCAGAGGAGAGTGCACATCTTTGTACAGCTTTGTACTCTCCTCTGCCTGAAGAAGGGAGCCTGTGCCCGAAAGCTTGCAAACAAAGCTGGATTTTTATTTTTTTTTGCAAATATCTAGTTGGTCTAATAAAAGCTATCACCTCTGCCACGAGTTGTGATTCCTGGTGTCATTTATACACATATAAATGTGTATGTCATTTATGCACATAAATATCAGCCCCTGAGGCAGGAACCAGACGCCGACCGTGTCATGCTCTGCTGGCTGCAGCATTTCCTGCCTTTATGGCCAGCTGCTGCTCCAAGAAGCCTGGAAAGCCTGATGCGATGCAATTTATTTGATTTTTAGGGACAGTTTTGTGCTGCACTGAGTCACCAGCGGCCGGGGGAGCAGGAGGGGCCGTGAACTCCACCCCGAGGATACAGCACGGGCTTCGTCTCGCAGCTAGGCCTTTGCCTCAGGGGAGAGGAAGAATTAAGGATTAGACATTTACTGTCATGGAATCAGAACAGCATCTGTTGCCCGCTCGCTCGGACAGTCATGACCAGGGCCAGCACTCTTCAAGGCGAAAGCCGAGCTCCAGTTGGGACCTGGGAGACGGCCCCTCGTTCGTGCGCCGTGGGCTTGCTCGGGAGCGGCAGGCATTGCCAGTCACTGATGGAGTCGCGGGAGACTAGCTGGGCCACTGCTCTCTTCCGGGAGCAGCCATGGGGCAGGGGGCTCGGCCCGCCTTGATGCCTCTGCAGGGTTGCGTCTAGCTCTGGGTTAGCGCTTCCCAACGTGTCCAGCTATGCACACGGAGCCAGCAACAAGCAGCAGGGGAAAAAAGAGGCCGAGAGCACTTCATGGTTTCTTTTTCTGATGTCTCGCAGGAAACTTTCACCCGCTTTTGTTCTGACCACGGACAGAAAGGGACAGCTAGACGCAAGAAATCGCCAGGCTCCCCTGGCGTGAACCTGCTCTGGCAGCCCAAGGCTGTTGCACCAACCCCAAGTGAGCCTCAGCTCTCCCCCCGCACAGGCCATCACCGATCTCGTCCTCGCGACCAGAACTGTCCATCACGTGCCCCCGGGAGCTCTGCTGTCATTGCTGACGGCCGCGCCAAGAGGCCCCGTCTGAGATCAGGGCCCCTCGTTCTCACGCGCCGCTCTGCAGGACAGGGCCTCTCTGTTGCTCGAGGCCGAGGCAGACAAAGGGACCGGGGAAAACAGAGGTCCTGTCACGCCGCCAAGCAGCACGTCCCGGGCTGGGCTAGGAGCGGGGCTCAGCTTTGCTCAGGCCCTTTCTGCTCGTTTGCACCCTCCAGAGCTAACCCAGCCCCTGTCCTACCAGCAAGGCAACCTTTCCTCTGCCACCTCAGCCTGCACAGTGCCCCACAGGGCTCGCTCCCTGCTGCCTGGTCCTTTGTGCCCCCATGCATGTGCCTTGCCCCTCGTCTGAATGCTTCTAACAGAGCAAATGAGGGCTGGAAGGGACCTCAGGAGGTCACATCTAGTCCAACCCCCTGCTCAAACCAGGAGCAGCCCCAACTACATCATCCCAGACAAGGCTTCGTCCACCCGGGTCTTAAAAACTCACAGGCTTGCCCTGGTCTCACATTGGGTCATCTGCAGCAGTAGCAATGGAAACCCCAGTCCAGGCCTGTGCCTTGCTGTGCTGAGGGCTGCGTCCCCGAGTCAGAAGCAGTCTCTGCCCCCCAAACAGTTCACCGCTGCTTTTAAGGTGGGTGACAAGTGGGTGAAGAAGCGATGCAGGTAGAAGCAGGGGTAAGGACCCACTCAGTCGTGCCAGCGATGCGTGGAGGGGCTGCGTCATGTTCCCCCTTTGCACAGGGATTTGTTGGAGGAGGGATGAAGCAAAGAGTTACATTTTTACGCGCACATACACGCACATACATGTACACACACACCGGCAGTCCCAGCTGCAGGGCTGTGTCCTGGTGACTCAACTGGCAGGAAAAGCCAGCCCTGGAGCCTGGGGGTGGGGAGCGGGGTGCAACAGCTCCCAGCCTCCTGCCCTTCCCCGTCCCTGTGCACTGTACCAGCAAAGTGCTCCTGGCATGGACACTAGTGGCAAAGCCACGCCAGGCCCCCTGGCAGGTGAGACAAGCTGGACATTGGAAATGCATGTGCACCTGTCTAGTGCATCAGCATGGCCAGAGCACCAGACAGCAGGCAAGGGAAGAAGCAGCGACCGAAGAGCCTGGGAAGAGAAGGCAGCAGGGAGGTTTTCCACAGGCTCTGGCATTTCCAGCTCCAGCTCCTGCTCCTTCCTGTGCCGCGGGGTCAGGAAGCTGTTAGGAGGGGGAGACAGCGGCCACGCCTGAGCTCACCCGGAGGAGGGGAGAGGAGAGAGCCACCCCGCCTCAAGTCTCCTTGCCCTGGCTGGGGTCCCAGGGAGTCTCCAGCTCCTCCCCTTCCTGAGGCTTTTGGCCTTGCACTCCTCGGCTCCCAGCCCTGTTTGCACTTGGACTCTGCCTCCCATGTCTCACCTTTGGGAAAAAGAGGCCTGGAGCAGGGCCGGGACAAGCCTGGGCCTTCCCTGCTCCGTGCTGCCCAAGCTCAGCCAGGGCTTGCTCCCCCACCGCCTCCCAAGGCCCTCCACTCCATGTGTCACAGGGCTGCTGGTGGCTGCCACAGGCACCTGTGCATTGCACGCAGATAATGTGTGCGCTGGGGCTGAACTAACACGGCCCTGGGAACCTCACAGATGCAGGCGTCTGAGGTCCCAGCCTCGGGGACATGCTGACTGCAGTGGTGTAAAAGACCAAGCAGCAGCTCCGGCTGGATCAGGTGAGCGCAAGGATCAGACATCAGCTCCCCTTCCCTGGCCCTTGGCGTGATATCTGCGCCGGCAGGGCAGCTGCCAAACGCATGTGTCTGGGTTGGCTGGAGCCTTACGGCCCATACACTGGTACAAATGATAATGCCTGGTGCGGGCGCATGGAGAGTTAGACCCAGCACACAGAGAGCCGGGACTTGATGAGATTCACCCCCTTCCCGCGTAATGGGGACAGGACCCATTTCACACTGGCATGCTGCAAGCTGGCAATGCCTTTCCACCCAGGACCTCGGAGTGCAAGGCCACGTCCCTCCACCCTGCCCCTCGGGCCGGGCACTGCTCCGTGCAGCCTGGCACCAAACCATCCAATGGAGGGATTTGTAACTCGTTAGCTAAACCGTGGCAAAAGGCCGTGACACACACGTCGTGCAGCTGAAACAAGGCAGACTCTGGTCTCACTTTTGCTGCCTGGGTTTAAACTGAGCTGAAATGGTGTCCCACAGGAAACTTTGAACTAAACCATTCAAATGCAAACAGGAGTGGCTACCATTAAAATCCTGATTCTAGGTCTTCAGCAGAAGATTTCTAGGGGATTTTCACACTGTGGATGTTTGTTGGTTTGGAAACCCAATCCTTTCCCCTCCCAGCCTGGAAATGCACAGCTCGCTGTGGTCCCCCCCAGCCCACAGCACCGCCTGGAAACATGGAGCCAGCACCCCCTAAATAATCAGCGTGGTACCCGGGCCACAGCTCAGCCCCTGCCCGGTCTCCGCATGGGCAGCGAGCAGCTGGCACAGGAGTCACTGGAGCAGGCCTTGGACAGCGCACCCAGAGACTAATGAGTTTTCATGGATCCTACGAATAGCTCATTAGCCAGGTTCTCAGTCAGGGACTGCCTGATGCCTGGCCTTGATCTAGCCCAGTGGCTGCAGACCACCACCATGTCTAAGGGCTCCACGAAAGATGACTATAATCCATCAAAAGCACGTGAACCGCCACACTTACAGTGCAAAGAGGCCTGCACCTCCCTTTGCACGTTTTTAGGGGTCCGCAAATGAGGAAAGGTTGAAAACCACTGATGTAGTCTGTTGATTCAAAACAGGCTCCCCTAGGCTCCAAGCTCCCCTGAGAGCAAGGCTTGCAGTCTGCAGCAACACGCGGCGCTGCTGCCTTCTAGCGGCCACAGGCGCACCTGGATCTGGCCGGTCGCTGCCCGTGTGAGCTGGGGGTGGGAAAGCTGGCTGCATCCTCAAGGGTGTAGGCACCTGAGGGGCAGACACGGGCTGGCAGCTCGGCCTGCAGACACTACCAGGACTCTGGCCGTTAGGTGCATCTCTCGCAGAACCTGCTGGACCCACGTCCAAAAGCCGAGCTACATGGGGAGAGTGCCTTCCTCCAGTGCAGAACGGGGACGCCGGCATGGCAAGAACCGCACGGACACCTCTCAGGTCCCGCTGGGCACAGCCAGTTTATTTACATGGCACAGCTGCAGAGAGACAGGCCGCGCTTACCCAACGCAGATGCTTCGCAGGGGCCCCCGACGGCAGCAGGACACAGACACGGGCAAAGCCAAAGTGCAGGCCAGCAGCGGGAAGCTCTGCCCAGGGACAGCGATGCATAGCTACAGGGCCAGGATGGCCCCCTTAACCTGTGACACCCTGCTCTGCAGAGACCTGGGAAGCTCGTGTCCCAGGCGAGCTGTCTGCATGAGGCGCTGCCTCCGCTACCTGAACAGACCTGCGGAGCAGCACAGCTCCCGGCAATGCAGAGCGGGCCAGGACCGAGATAAGAAACCGCCTCTTTCGGCCCCAGGGCAAAGCGCGTGCAGGCAGCACAGGGAAGGCGCAGCTCTGCGGGGCTGGCGGCTGCGATCAGAGCTGCTCAGAAAGGATCTGCGAGTTGAGCGGTGCTCGGAGCAGCTCTTCGGTGAGTAACACTGAGCTGAGTACGCCTGGCCTCAGAAACACAGCGCTGACCTGACGGGGACAGGGACGGGGCAGCAGCCTCGGGACAGAGGGCTGGCACATGCCCCATGCTACTGGCACAGGCACTCCCACGATGGGATGCCCACCCCATTGCAAGGGCTGACACAAGGGGGTGGCCGGGAGCGAGGGCTGCATGAACAGGGGAGCTAAGTGTGACTCCCTGCTGTCCCTGGCACCGCTGTTACCCTGCAGGAGAGCCCGGCCTGGGCACTGGGGCAATTGGGCACCCAGCGCAGGGGCGCAGGGGGGCACTAGCAGTGAGCGCAGTGTTGCCAGCCAGCATGACACACGAGAACAAAGCAAAGAGCTGCTGACGGCAGGCGTGCGCACCACCGAGCAAGGGGAAATCCAGCCCCTGGCTGCACTCGCCCATCCCGGCAGGCACGGCCCCGGGGAGCGGGGTCCCAGAGCCCAGCAAGAGCTGGCTATGCAACAGCCCAACCTTGACCCCTAACCCTGGGGTGCTGACAGCTTCTTCCCCTTGCTGCCGGGGCAAAGGCCGGGACGCGGCAGGCAGCTGGATGGGGGCGCAGGTCGAGGCCCTGTGGGGATCCCTCCGCGCGCCCACCTCCAGCAGCACCAGCATCCCGGTCACAGGTCCTTTTCAGTGGCACGAGGCCCATGGCCTGGGCCGGCCCAGCGTCACGTGTAATTGCCGGGGCCGCCCAGCGGGATGACGAAGACGGAGATGTCGTCCCCGGAGCCCAGCTTGTCGTTGGCCAGGCGCCAGCCGCGCTCCTTCAGCACCCCCCGGGACCGAACCACCAGCTCCTGTGCCACCACGGTGTACCTGCAGCGCCCGGCGCGGGGGCACAGAGCCCTCCGTCAGCAGCCAGGCTCCCCCCGCGCGGCTAGAGCCAGCCCTGGCGAGAGGGGAAGCCGCCGGAGGGGCTCGTGGATGGGGGTACAGGCATGACCGTGGGATACTGCAACCTGGGCAGCTGCCGCAGGCTGGGGGCCCCAGTGCTGCATCCTTCACCTGGGCAGGAGGATGTGCCTTGTCCTCCCCCCTGCCCAGACTTCACAGCACTTGGCTTGCCAGGAAGTCCCCTGAGCAGGGCCCTGCGGGGTACGGGACACGCTGCCCCCCACCCTCCTGCCATGACTGACCTGCAGGGGTCATTGGGCTCGTAGCCCATCAGCACATCCATGACCACCTCGGCTACCTCCTTGTCGTTGGTGACGTCCCACAGGCCGTCAGTGCCCAGCACCAGGACGTCGTCGGGGCAGTGCTCGTACTGCGTGAGGTCGTACACCCGGACCTGGGGGCGGCACGCAGGCAGGGCTCAGCCCGGGAAAGCACCGTCCGCCTCCCTGGAGGCTGTGGACCGAGCGCCTGGGAGCTGGACCAAGCACCTGGGCTCCAGGAGCCAGAGGCGATGGCACCCCAGCCTCCACCCCAGGCAGCAGAGAGGTTGGGACACCCCAGGGCCTCCCTGCCCTGCCACAGCCCGAGGT